GCCAAGCTTAAACTATGGGTTTACAATGCTTTAAGAATATGTAAAAATCAATGTGAGGTAAGGTAGGTTGTACAAACTAGGTCATAGTCGGAGTAAACTCATTGAAATGGATAGACCTATTAAGCATGTCCATTAATTTCAATGGTTCCACACGACTAAAATCGGATTGATCCTAGCTTATTCTAAATTGGAGCATTAACAGCACATTTTGGCCCTCTTTTATATTCCTACTTAAGTTCATACTTGGTGCTATATGTTGTTGTTGCTGGCATCCACCTGTTTTAAGAGACAATGGAGTGCACCTCGGGGGGGTGAAGTCAAATTGCTGCGTTAGGAGCACCAAAGCCTGGGCAGCGTGGATAGAGGTCCTGGACTGCCCAGACAACAAGACCCCGTTCTCAGCCTCACTGATGTGGTCCAAAGGAAAGCAGAGCAATACGTTTGGTACCAGCTTGGCTGCAGGAGTTGCCGGAAGGAGGCATACAAGGCGCCATCCAACCATCTCAGGGACTCCACTCCAAACTTGTTCAGGGTTTACTGTTTAATATGAGTTTCCTGTTAAAACAGTCATTGATTGTTAATTTAGCACTCAAAAAAATGCCTCATCTGAAACCCTGGGGAGCTGCTGCCAGCCAGTGTAGACGGTACTAAGATAGATGGGACTGACTTGGTATAAGGCCACTTCTTACGATCTGCACAAATTAGTGTGTGGTGTCTCTAGCTTCTGGGCACACCCGCCATGTGGCCCTCAGAATGTTGATACGGCTGAATGTGGCCCTCAGTCCCAAGAAGATTAGCCAGCCCTACTCTTGAAGTTAAGGGACGCGGGTGGCGCTGTGGGTTAAACCACAGAGCCTAGGACTTGCCAATCAGAAGGTTGGTGGTTCGAATCCCCGCGATGGGGTGAGCTCCCATTGTTCGGTCCCTGCTCCTGCCAACCTAGCAGTTCAAAAGCACATCAAAGTGCAAGTAGATAAATAGGTACCACTCCGGCGGGAAGGTAAATGGCGTTTCTGTGCGCTGCTCTGGTTCGCCAGAAGCGGCTTAGTCATGCTGGCCACATGACCCGGAAGCTGTATGCCAGCTCCCTCGGCCAATAAAGAGAGATGAGCGCCGCAACCCCAGAGTCGTCTGTGACTAAACCTAATGGTCAGGGGTCCCCTTTACCCTTTACTCTTGAAGTTAAATTCCTGAGGGATGTGTGTGTGTCGCATTACATCTCTAATAGCCTTGAAGATTTTGAATGTAGAAAGACTTGGAAGCCTAAATATTATCAACTGGTTACTTTTTATTATATTTTATTGTTGTTTTCATTAGATGTTTATTTTCTGTGATTGCATTTTTTATAATTGTAAAAAATTGCTTTTAAAAAATAAATATCATTAGAGTTTATACAGAAAAATACAAAATTATTGTCACCCTTTTTTTTGTCCAGACTGAAACATTAATCCAGAGGCAAAAATGAGAGAGAAGAGAAAAAGACAGAAAGACAGACAGAAAGAGGAAAGGATAAAAAGGAATTAAAAGAGAGAATGTGAAAAGAGAGAGAGAGAAAAGGAAAAAGAGAGAGGTTAAGAAGCTTCTTAAAAATGGTTTTGAATGCTGTATCTTAAATAGATGTAGCCTGCCCTGGGAACTTAGGGTGATGGGCAGGTGATAAATTAAAATACAAAAAGCACAAACAACAAGGCACCACCCAGCACCTATCATTTCATGTGCTGGGAAGACTTTGTTTTGGACTCGCTCACAGACTCACTGTGCTGTTGTTGTTTTTCTCTCCCTTTTTTTTGCGATCTTTTAATAATGGACTGCAAGAGCCAGAGCACCTTGGGGAGAGAATTGGCTGCCCTTAATTTCACCTGGGAAATGTTGGACAGGATGCAGAGCCTGTCATTTCCACCAGATAAAATTGGGGCGCTCTTGGAACACCCCCCTCTGTCCTCACCTTGAGGCTCACAGCTGCTTTCTGACAGCAAGCCGGGCGCTTCAGTGTACCTGCATGTGCATTTACAGCCAAGGTGCACCAGTGGTTTGACTTCAGATGTGAGGGAGGTGGAATCTAAAGTTCATAGAGTCTCCCCAGGGGCCATCTAGTCCAACACCCTGCAGTGCAGAAATCACAGCGAAAGAATCCCTGACAGATGGACGCCTGTTGATAAACCTCCAGCGAAGGGGAGGGTGTTCGTTCCACAGTCAAACAGCTCTCCCCATCAAGAGTTATTCCTGATGTTTACACGGAATCTCCTTTCTTGCCATTTTAATCCATTTCTCCGGGTCTGACTCTCTACAACAGCAGAAAACAAGCTTTCTCCATCTTCCGTGTGTCAGCCCTAGAGATATTGGAAGATGGCTATCACATCTCCTCTTCTCCAGGCTAAACATACCCAGCTCCCTCAACCGTTCCTCATAAAGCTTGGTTCTCAGACCCTTGATCATCTTGGTCACCCCTCCTCTGCACATGTTCCAGTTATTAAACTGTGGTGCCCAGAACTGGACGCATGACTCCAGGTGGGGATCTGACCAAGGCAGAATAGAGCAGTACTATGACTTATCCATAAAGGTAAAGGGACCCCTGAACCTTAGGTCCAGTTGTGACCGACTCTGGGGTTGCGGCCCTCATCTCGCTTTACTGGCTAAGAGAGCCAGCGTACAGCTTCCGGGTCATGTGGCCAGCATGACTAAGCCGCTTCTGGCGAACCAGAGCAGCGCACGGAAACGCCGTTTACCTTCCCGCCGGAGTGGTACCTATTTATCTACTTGCACTTTGAGGTGCTTTCGAACTGCTAGGTTGGCAGGAGCAGGGACCGAGCAATGGGAGCTCACCCCGTCGCAGGGATTCGAACCGCCGACCTTCAGATTGGCAAGTCCTAGGCTCTGTGGTTTATCCATATCTGCACAAAAAAGCATGTTTTTAAAAGTCCTCCCAAATTTCTGCAAAAAGCTTTAAGAAGAGTCAGAATACAGACTGCAGGGATGGATGGGGAGGCAAAGTTCCATTGCTTAGGATACATTTTAATCTAGCCTGAGACTGGTTGAACTGTCATGGCTTCTGTCCCCAAAAGGATTCTGGGAACTTTTCAGCAGCATACACCCCCTAAGGCCTGCCTCACAGAACGTTTTTGCGAGTCTGCGATGGCAGGGTATGTGTGTGGGGGGGTGGCGTCCTACAAAGCGCTCTCTTTGTACTGTGATTGGGACTGCACCCGACGCATCGTCGAGAGCGGATCTTGGAGATTATGATGGGATGCAGGAAAGTCTCTTGGGTATGTCGAACAGAACCTTTACACATCAAAGCTCAGTGCCTCAAATTATGCCTCGAAAGAAGTTGGCGCAGCAGCAGTGGAATAACATAACGTGCCCCGGGGCATGCGCAGAGTGCCTACTCTTCCACGCTGCAGCTGAGATGAAAGGGAAATGGAGATGTGTGTGGCTTCTAGATATTAATGAATTATGATATGTGAGGGGGGAGGGGAGGGGGGAGGGGAAAGAGTTACGGTGCTTTCCACTAAAGCTTCAGAGCTGATCAGCAAAGCTGTCTGTCTTGAGAGGATACCTCCAGGCGCCCTCCACAGCAGTGTATGTGTGTATCTGACTGGCTGGAACTGCAACTGCTCCACAACACAGACACCCCTTTGTTCTAGCTAGGTGTCATTCCTGCCTTATTTTTTCCTCTTCGAAGCAGAGGATCGTAGGGTTGGAAGGGACACCAAGGGTCATCTAGTCCAACCCAGTGTTGTTGACACTGACTGGCAGCAACTCTCCTGGGCTTCAGGCGTGGCTCCCTCCCTGGAGATGCCACCAGGGATTGAACCTGGGACCTTCTGCATGCAAAGCATCAGCTCTGCCCCTGGGCTGCAGTCCTTTGAAATTGAAGCAAGATTCTAGTCCTCAAGGTTCTGAGTAAAGACTGAAAGAGGAATATAGGAAGCTTCTTCATCCCGAGTCAGGCCACTGGTCCATCTAGCTCATTAATGTCAACACTGGTTGGCAGCAGCGGCACTCCAGGTTTCAGGAAGGGGATATTCCCAACTCTCCCTGCAGAGACCTCTGGGGAAATGAACCTGGGAGCTTCTGCATGCGACGCAAGGGCTCTGCCACAGACCTACGTTCAGAACATGGCTCCATCTAGCTCAGTGTTGTCTACACTGACTGGCAGCAGCTTTCCAGGGTTTCAGGCTCCATACCCGGAGGTGATGCTCCGTGGGATTGAATCTGGGACCTTCTGCACTCAAGGCAGGTGCTCTACCACTGAGCTGCAGCCCTTCCCCAAGCAGAAGTAAAGGCTGGCCCTTCACACTGCCTTTAGCATCCTCAACTCCTTCCACACCTTTGCTAATGGCAGGGCCGGCCTTGGGAAATGGGGATGTCAGGTGCTCCAGAGAGAACGGAGAGGGGGGAAGGATGGTGATGGACGAAGAGGAGGAGGAAAAGAAGAAGAAGAGGGGGCTCTTGCAAAACTGCCCATCCGAGCAGCCGGGGGTTTTATAGGCTTCCTGCAAGGGGAAGGGGGGCGTAAACCTGCCAAGTCTCCAGGCGGAAGGAGAGGTGGTCCCTTAGGGAGCAGGGCACGGATGCCCATTCCTTGGGCCAGCGCTGCACTGCGGTGTCTGTGCCACCCCACCCCACCCCCAATTCCTAACCTCGAATCAATAGGCAGGCAGCACCCACCGCACTCGTCTCCCTCCCGGTTACCGAAGCACCATTTCCATGGAAACAGCCTTAGCGCGCTTTGCTTATTGGAGGGCTGGCTCCATCGCTGCATCTCCGAGGCCGAGGGGAGTCTCTCTCTCTTTCATCCCCCCCTGTCTCTCTCTCTCTCAAAAAAAATTCCGATTATTACTATTATTGCAGATCGGGGAAGGGGAGGGGGCGGCGGCTCCCTCCCCACCCTCAGCCCTTCTTCTGAGCCAGGATCGGGCCCAGCTGCCTCTTTGGAGGGGGGGACCCCCCGCCCCCCCATATCCCCGCCTGGTGACAGCAGCGCCCGCCCTAGCCAGCCGGATTCGCTGCCTGCATCTCCTTTTGTATGCGGCGAGGGGCGGGGAGGCGCTAGCCCCCGCCTCCGCCCCGTCCTTCCTCCTCCCTCCTCCTCCGCCTTCCTCCTATGCTAAGCCAGCGCCAGGCGAGAGCCGCTCGCCAGCATCTCCGGCTGGCCAGTCCTCTCTCGCCATCCCTGCAGTGAAAGGGCCGCCCAGGGATGCCTTTCCAGCTGTGATGCCCCCCAGCAAGCGGCTGGTGGAGCCCCCTGGTCCAATCCTGGCAGCAGCAGCAGACACCCCCGGATTGGTCCCTTGGGTGCTGCCGCTGTCTCCCCGACACCCAAAGGGATGAAGAGGCGGGAGGATCCCTCTGCAGAGAGCCAGCAGGGAGCCATGCCGGGCAGCGGGGGTGCTGGCAGGGGGGAAGGCGTTAGGGCAGCCCTCCAGGAGGAGGAGGAGGACGAGGAGGTCCCAAGCTGGGGGTCCTCGGAGCAAGCCCCCCCGGAAAGCGCCGCGCTCGGGCACTGCCAGGTGCCCGCATCACCCCAGGTAAGATCAGCCGGCATTTAGGAAGGAGGGTCCAGCGTTGTGATTCTTTTAGGATCCATGGAAGAGCCTCCTCCTTCCAAGGCAGTCTATCTCTATGTTCCTGAAGGCAGTGAGAAACCTGGGGAGGGTCGCGTTCCGTAAGCACCTGGCTGTCCAGCATTGGAAACAGGTTACTGGGTCTTTGACATGCCTATGGAGTGATAACATCTAGCTGAGTCTTGGGAATGCACTGGAATAGTTAGATGTGCTGGTAGCTGCTTGCTTAGATTCCCTCCCCCAAGGGTTAGACAAATTCACGGAGGATTTACCTCCTCATCCCAGGGCAGTATACCTTCATGCCAGGTGCTGGGAGGCAAAGAGGAAGCAGAGGAGGCTGTTGCAGCATTATTATTATTATTATTATTATTATTATTATTATTATTATTATTATTATTATTTTGTATTTTCCTTCTGAATATCCTTAAAGGATCTGGCTGGTGACGAAGCTTTGCGTCTTGGTTTCCACAGACAGTCTCTTCTTTATTCACTCCCTTGATGGACTCTTGATTTTCATGACCAGGCTGCCAAATTAAAATCATGCCATTTTTAAATGAACTTATTGGCATGCATTTAACTCAGAGATCACCTTTTTTTTTAAAAAAATGAAATTACTGGCATGCATTTAATTCAGAGATCACTCATATTATTATTATTTTTAAATTAAATTAATGGCTTGCATTTAACTCAGAGATCACCTAGATAGATAGATAGATAGATAGATAGATAGATAGATAGATAGATAGATAGATGATAGATAGATAGATTTCCCATCAGGAATATCTTTCTCCCCACAAACCTGTAGCTGACGAACGAGGGATGCAGTAAAGTCTCCTTCTTCACAGCCATGAAGGAGGAACCATGTTTTCCCCATGTTGTAGCTGAGCTGCAGAGACACTGACGGCTTTAAAAATCCTGTTGAAAACGCAGACGCCCCCTCCCCACACTTCCCAATTGGGGTTCACAGCCAAGCAGTAAGAAGCTCTTGGTTGAGGGTTCTGGGGTTCTGGGCTCCCTTCCCTTCCGTGGAAGCAAAGGAGAAATCTGCAAGCCATGCTGCCTCAGTGGAACACCCATCTCCAGAGACAGTATACCTGTGAATCCCAGTTGCTGACTGCCAAATAGGAACCTAAGAAGGGACTTCTGGATTCGGCCAGTGTCCCATCTAGTCCAGCATCCTGTTCTCACAGTGGCCAACCAAATGGGAAACCTGCAAGCAAAACCTGAGCCTTCCCCCCTCCTGTGGTTTCCATCAATTGCTATTCAGAAGCAATTGCTGCCTCCGACTGTGGAGGCAGAACATGGCCATTGTGGCCATCAGCCATTTGTGGGCTCAGCCCCACATCTCCTACTTGTGGGCTTTCCAGAATAGGCATCTTTGTGGCTACTGTGAGAAGAGAGTGCTGCGCCGGACAGACCTTTCGCCTGGGCTCTTTTTATCTGGGAGCTGGCCATAGCTAGGTATCGTTGGACTCCAAGCACTCGTCCGCCCCAACCAGCAGGACCAATGGTCAGATGTGATGGTAGGAGGGGCTCACAGCTTCTGGGTGGCACCATGGTGACTATCCCAGACCTGCCAAGTGTCCAAACAGGTTTGTGAATAACCACCCATACGAGCCTAGTAATAACTGGTTTGGGGCAAGCAAATAGCCAGGGTTTGTGCATAAGGCTATAATGTTCCTGACCCCCCAGCTGTTGGCGTTGAAATGATTCATGTTTCTATAAATGACCTCATGGGCTAGTATATTTTTTTTGGGGGGGGATGAGGCTGGAAGCTTCTATGGACATCTTTGCAAGTTTACCTCTCGCATGTTTGTCCTCCATTATCTCAATAACTGCTTCAGCACCCATCTTTGATAGAAGGCAGCTGATGATCTTAAGAGTCATAGAATTGTAGAGTTGGGATCCCAACCCCTTGCAAAGCCAGAACCGCAGCTAAAGAATCCTTTGACTGATGCTTGTCCAACCTCTGCTAGGAAACTGCCAGTGAAGGAGAGTCTGCCACCTTCTGAAGTTATCTTACTATCTGCTAATGGAACTTGGGGCACAGAGTCGTCAGAGGACAGTGGCTGGTTTAAAGCCAGCTGGTCAAGCTGAGGTGCCAAACAGGGTCCCTTTGCAGCTCAGTGGCAGATCATCTGCCTCGCATGCAGAAGGTCCCAGGTTCAATCCCCAGTGGTCTCTCCAGATGGGGCTGGAAATACCCCTGGCTGAAACCCTGGAGAGTAGCTGCCGGTCAGTGCTGGCAGTCCTGAGCTGGATGGACCTGGCTGAGGATGGGCCACAGCTCAGTGGCAGAGCATCTGCTAGACACGCAGAAGGCCCCAGTTTCAATCTGTTGTATTTCTAGATAGGCCCCCAGTTTGCAACCCTAGAGAGCCACTGCCAGTCAGTGTCGACAATACTGAACTAGATGGGCTGACTATAAGGCAATCTGATGTTCCGCATACCCATAACCATTATACAACACTTCTTTTTGGTTGTTGCCTGAAGTTTTTCTTTGTGGTTGCCACAATCCTGCTAGATTGTTAGGGAGGGATGGGGGCCATGCCCTCCCCCAGTCAAAACCGTTGTCCTGCCCTTTCAGCATTTGAGAGACCCCCAAGTTGTTTATGAGGGGCAGCAACACTCTGGGGGTCTCTAGAGCCGAGAAGCATCTTTCCTGAACTCCCCCCCATTTTTTTAAAAAAGACCAGGAGCCAAGGTTTGAATCGGAGACATTCTGCATGCAGAGCAGGTGCTCTAACACTGAGCTACAGCTTAAGAATAAATTAAGGGATCCACCTGAAGGTTGGGCTCTTCTCTGAAATAAATTAAGATCATGGTGTCTGGATCAGGCCCCAAAGAGGCTCATCTAGTCTGGCACAGCAGCCAACCAGAGGCTTCTGCTCCCAGACCCCCCAAGCAGGAAACTGAGGGCAGCAGCAGCCCCTCCCCACTTTGAAATCCCGGGAGAGGCAAGGCTTCGATATGCCATTTGGCCAGGAAGCTCACTGGATGACCCTTGCCTGGGCTAGTCAGCATCTCTCAGCCTAACCCACCTCACAGGGTTGTTGTGAGGGTAAAAGGAGGAGGGGAAAAGCCATGTGCAAAACCTTGAGCTCTTTGGAAGAAAAGGTGGTGTATAAATGTAAGAAGTTGCTGCTGCTGCTGCTGCTGCTGCTTCTGACAGTGGAAGGAGTACACAGCCGTCGTGGCTAATAGCCATCAGCAGCTTCCGTCATGAATTTGATTCATAGCATTATAGAGTTGGAAGGGACCCAAGTGGCCATCTAGTCCAACCCCCTGCAAAACAGGAATCACAACTAAGGAATGGTTTCCATGCTGTCCAAAATGAGGAAAGGGTGTCTGTGGTTACTAGCCACGATGGCTCTTCTCTGCCTTCACAGTTGGAGGCAGCGATGCCTCTGAATACCAGTTGCTGGAAAACACAGGAGGGGAGAGGGCTCTTGGGCTCGAATCCTGCTTGCTAGTTTCCCAGAAGATGCGTCTGGTTCGCTGCTGTGAGAACAGGATCCTGGATTTGATGGGCCCTTGGCTCTTCTTCTTAGTGCCCTTTTCATCATTCACTGGTGACTTCGCCCCTTTGCAATGGGGAGTTCGGACAGAACCAAGAATCTTCCTCTCTCAGGTTAAGCTCCTTCTGCGGCTGTTGCAGTTCTGCAACGCTATACAGCTAAGCTTCCATTCTCCACCCTGGAGAGGCAAAGAGATGACAGCCTGTTCTTTCACCCTGCCGGCTGGCAAAATCTCCGCTCCACCGGGTCCTGTTTTTTGGGGAGAAATTGGGCTGGTTCCTTCCCGCTGCATCCCTGCGTCACAGCGAAGGAGGCAGGGCCTGTGTTGCTCTTTCCAGAACAGACACTTCTCCCTCACCTTAGAATGGGGTGATCTTGCAAGGAAGCCTATCAGCTGTATGGGAAGCCTATCAGCTGTATGGGAAGAGCACCCCACCTCCCCAGATGTCTGATTCTTATTATGTTAAAGTCTTCACACACACCCCAATACAAATCCAGGGAAAAATGAATATTTTTACTGCTGAAAAACTGGTCTTCTAGAAGGTCCAGGGAGGGGATAACCTTGCCACAGGTTTTGAGGACCTCTGGTCTTAGGAGCAGGGGTCAGCCACCCCCTCTCTGGACTGCTGCCAAGTCTCATTTTGGAGGAAGTTCTTTCACTCTTCCATATCCCAGGGGTTGCTCGAATGGGCCAAACTGGTCAAAGGCACATAGCAGACCCTCCAAGTGTCCCTATTTTCCAGGGACAGTCCCAGATTTATAGAAGCCATCCCGGTTTCTGATTTGATCCCAGAATGTCCCACTTTTCCACTGGACCTCCCTATTTTCATCAGAGAAATGTTGGAGGGTATGGAGACATCTGAACCACCTGAAGGCAGTTTTTAAATGCTTAATGTTTTATTATGCATTTATATATGTTGGAAGCTGCCCAGAGTGGCTGGGGCAATCTAGTCAGATGGGCAGGGTATAAATAGTAAAAGTAATAGAAGTAGTAGCAGACACTCCGTGTCCCTATTTTCCAGGGACGTCCCTGATTTAGAGAAACCGTCCCGGTTTCTGATTTGATCCCAAAATGTCCCACTTTTCCTTAGGATGTCCCTATTTTCATTGGAGAAATGTTGGAGGACATGGAGTTATGAGACCTCCTGAGCGAAGGAGATAAGTAACTATACAAACTTTAGAAGACATCTGAAAACAGCCCTGTATAGGGAAGTTTTTTTTTTTAGTGTTTAATGTTTTATTATGTCTTTAGGCACTGTGGGTTAAACCACAGAGCCTAGGACTTGCCGATCAGAAGGTCAGCGGTTCGAATCCCCGTGATGGGGTGAGCTCCCGTTGCTCGGTCCCTGCTCCTGCCAACCTAGCAGTTCGAAAGCATGTCAAAGTGCAAGTAGATAAATAGGTACCACTCCGGCAGGAAGGTAAATGGCGTTTCTGGTTCGCCAG